GGTTGTTAAAATATTCACTGCAGTCGTTAAAATGACTCTTGTGATTGTTACGAGATTCTGGCTTCCCCACTGACTTTGCTTGTCAGAAGCCGGCTGTGAAGGTCACAAATGGTGATCACATGATCCCAGGACAGTGCAACCACCATAAATACATGCCAGTTGCCAAGCACCCGAATGTTGATCACACGACCACGGGGACGCTGCAGCAGTCATGTGAGAACCGTGTGAAAAAGGGTCCTAAGTCACTTATGGAAGTCAGTAACTTCCAACGGTCAATAAATGAATGGCTGTAAGTCGAGGACTACCTGTATTGAATATAATATCATCGTTGGATAACTATACACCAAACCACCAAGAAACAAATCATATCTGAACCTGGTCAGTCTTTTTCAACACAATCTGATATGAAGACACAAAGGTTCTGGGGACAGTGCCTGTTAAGAATTTCTCCCTGAGAAACTGAAGTCAGAATTGACATTTTCTGGCAAACAAAAGGCAGGATGGGGTGTTCTCACCGTATCCTTGCTGTTGTCCTGGATAAGTTTGTTGATTTGAGTATTGCTGCTGGGAATATGTTTGCTGCTGGGCAGCTCCTTGTTGGTATCCGGCTTGCTGCTGGCTGTACTGGGAATTCCCTAAAAGACAACAGATCAGCACAATGTATTGGCAGGGTTATAATATACACAGGGAAGGTAATAATAATAATAATAATAATAATAATAATAATAATAATAATAATAATAATAATAATAAGAATAAGAATAAGAATAAGAATAATAAGAATAATAAGAATAAGAATAAAAAAGTTGGAAGGGACCTTGGAGGTCATCGAGTCCAACCCCCTGCTCAGGCAGGAAACCCTATACCATTTCGGACAAATGGCTGTCCAGTCTCTTCTTAAAAACTTCCTGTGTTGGAGCATTCACCACTTCTGGAGGCAGGTTGTTCCACTGGTTAATTGTTCTAACTGTCAGGAAGTTTTTCCTTAGTTCTAGGTTGCTTCTCTCCTTGATTAGTTTCCATCTGTTGCTTCTTGTCCTGCCTTCAGGCGCTTTGGAGAATAGCTTGACTCCCTCTTCTTTGTGGCAGCCCCTGAGATATTGGAAGACTGCTATTATGCCCCCCCCCCTCATCCTTCTCTTCATTAAACTAGACATACCTAATTCCAGCAACCGTTCCTTATATGTTTTAGCCTCCAGTCCCCTAATAATCTTTGTTGCTCTTCTCTGTACTCTTTCTAGAGCCTCAACATCTTTTTTACATCGTGGTGATCAAAACTGGATGCAGTATTCCAAGTGTGGCCTTACCAAGGCCTTGTAAAGTGGTATTAACACTTCACGTGATCTTGATTCTATCCCTCTGTTAATGCAGCTGTGTTGGCTTTTTTGGCAACTGCAGCACACTGCTGGCTCATATTTAAGTGATTGTCCACTAGGACTCCGAGACCCCTCTCACAGTTACTACTATTGAGCAAGGTACCCCCTATACCCGTGGTGGCGAACCTATGGCATGCGTGCCACAGGCGGCACGCGGAGCCGTCTCTGGTGGCACGTGAGCTATTGCTGGACTGAGCTGCTCCCTCCTCCTCTCCGCGCATGCGCAGCTCTCCGCACATGCACAGTCTGGGAATAGGAGAGAGGCTATAAAATGAGCAACTTTCGGCGGAAGCAGCATTTGCTGCAGACAGCGAGCGAGCACGAGCTGACAGCTCGGTGACTCAGTGGCCACGCCACCCGGCACCCGGCAATGCATAAGTGGGTTTTGGGTTGCAGTTTGGGCACTCAGCCTCTAAAAGGTTTAATCTGGATTGGTGTGAAAGTCTCCCCTCAGATTCCCATCATACTGAGCAACCTGCCTTCCAGTTGTGAGTCCAACATTTTCACTGCTAAGCAAGACAGTTGTTATGCAAGACATTTTACAATCTTTTTTGCCCGGGTTGTTAAGATATTCACTGCAGTCGTTAAAATGACTCTTGTGATTGTTACAAGATTCTGGCTTCCCCACTGACTTTGCTTGTCAGAAGCCGGCTGTGAAGGTCACAAATGGTCACAAATAGTTCGCCATCACTGCCCTATACCATTTCAGACAAATGGTTGTCCAGTCTCTTCTTAAAAACTTCCAGTGTTGGAGAATTCACAGCTCCTGGAGGCAGGTTGTTCCACTGATTAATTGTTCTAATTGTCAGGAAGTTTCTCCTTAGTTCTAGGTTGCTTCTCTCCTTGATTAGTCCCCCCCCCCCCCCGTTGCTTCTTCTCCTGCCTTCAGGTGATTTGATTTGCAAGATCGCTGACCCCCTTACCTCCTTCGTAGTAGTGCTGTGTGGAGTCCTCAAATGATCGATCATAGCTTTGCTCAGAATAAGACGACTGCTGATACGCATAATCACCATGGCCTATTCTCAGATAACAAAACAAAACAAAAACTCATAAAAGCGATGTCACAAACAGAGTTTAAAGAAAATGATTTCTATGCATTAGAAAAGGAAGAGGCATATATCACGGGGCAAAATGGAGAAGAGACCCTTTATGCCATATTTTTATCTTGATTTGTGTATCGTTCTATTTACAGCTTGCCTGAATGCATTCTAGATGTTGGAGTTTGCTGCTACAAACTCTTAGGGACACTTTGCACCCTTTTACAAATGGCAATTTTCCTTAGAAAAAGGAAATGTCAATAAATTTTACCAGTTTTGCAGGATCAAATTACTGAAAGATGGTTGGATAAAACTGCCTTGACTGTTGAGGGAAAAGACAGCAGACTTTAGAATTGGACGTCTAAAATAAAAACTGATTATAAGTGTCTGAATTTTAGAAAAGTGAAATTCACATCTAATGAGAAAGACAGCTTATGAAATTCTCAGGAGCAGAGACTACAATAGGGTTTCTGCTTATAGGTTTCTGTTCTTTTTTAATCATCTAGGCCAGGGGTAGGCAACCTTGGCTCTTTTATGACTTGTGGACTTCAACTCCCAGAATTCCTGAGCCAGCATGGCTCAGCTTGGAAACCTCTCCCTTTCCCCTCAGCATGGCTGGCTCAGGAATTCTGGGAGTTGAAGTCCACGAGTCATAAAAGAGCCAAGGTTGACTACCCCTGGACTAGGCAAATCACATTTACTGTCTCCGGGTATATTTTTTCTCACATTTACCTTCACCAACTCAGAGCTGTGATGCGTGTAAAAAGGGCGGGGCTTCGATCATATGTTACTGGCTGCCATGTTGACTTTTTTGGCCCCCTGCCTGCAGGCACCCCCTGCACCATCTCTGCTGGCATTGTGACAGGGCACACTGTATTGAATGGGATACAACTACTCAGAGGAGGTGCTAAAATACTTTCCAGGAAGGTCACACAATTTCCAGAACAGATGTTATGTCCCTAACTTGGTGCCTTCCAGATGTGTTGCAACAATTCACAGGGATGACTGCAGCAAGCTGGAATTTTGTAGAAATATTGTGATGTCAGAGTGCAAATTCCCGCCTTTTCATAACAGAATAACAGAGTTGGAAGGGACCTTGGAGGTCTTCTAGTCCAACTCCCTGCTCAAGGGGAAACCCTATGCCATTTCAGACAAATGGTTGTCCAGTCTCTTCTTAAAAACTTCCAGTGTTGGAGCACCCACAAATTCCTGAGGCAGGTTGTTCCACTGATTAAGTGTTCTGAGTGTCAAGAAATTTCTCCTTAGTTCTAGGTTGCTTCTCTCCTTGATTAGTTTCCATACTTGCATATGATGTCGGGCCCAAGTAAAAAGGAATGAAAAAGGCATCCTGAATTGTAACATATAGTCTGTTACCAGCCCCCACATATTCCTGTGGACTTCACTACTTAAAATCCCCCAGCTTCACGTGAAACACGTGAAGTATTAGTACAGCTTTATAAAACCTTGTAAGGCCATACCTGGAATACTGCATCCAGTTTTGGTCACTACATTACAAAAAAGATGTTGAGACTTTGGAAAAAGTGCAAAGAAGAGCAACTAAGATGATTAAGGGCCTGGAGACAAAAACATATGAAGAACGGTTGCAGGATTTGGGTATGGCCAGTCTACAGAAAAGAAGGACTAGGGGGGACATGATAGCAATGTTCCAGTATTTGAGAGGTAGCCACAAAGAAGAGGGGGGGTCAACTTATTTTCCAAAGCACTAGAGGGTAAGATAAGAAACAGTGGATGGAAACTAATCAAGGAGAGAAGCAACCTGGAATTAAGGGGAAACATCTGAACAGTGAGAAGAATTAACCAGTGGAACAGCTTGCCTTCAGAAGTTGTGGATGCTTCATCGCTGGAGGTTTTTAAGAAGAGACTGGACAGTCACTTATCTGAAATAGTGTTGGGTCTCCTGCTTGAGCAGGGGATTGTCACTAGAAGACCTCCAAGCTCCCTTCCAGCTGTATTCTGATTCTGATTCTGATTCAGCTAGAATGGGCAATGTCTCACTTAACAACAGAAAAATTCTGGGCTCCATTGTGGTCGTAAGTTGAGGACTATCTGTAGTTTAAATTAAAATCAATTATATTCAGGTCATCGCTTCAGAGCATGAGAAGTAGCCTCTAGTTTATCGTTTTATTTTATGTCCTAAGCCTCTTCCAATTCAGTGACATGTGGGCATATATCTTCCCCTGTTCAGCACCATTACCGTCAGGATAATATTGCTGGTTCATGGATTCTGAAGATCCTTGTCCATGACTGTATTGCTCGCTATAATATTCCTCCTGGCCCATGTACTGCTGAGAAGAACCTGAAAGACACAGAAAATATTAAGACCATCAGCAGCATTGAAAATGCCTACATTTGGATTAGAGTTGAAAAGATGTTTTTATGACTCTAGCCCAGGGCTAGGCAACCTTGGCTCTTTTATGACTTGTTGACTTCAATACCCAGAATTCCTGAACCAGCCATGCTGACTCAGGAATTCTGGGAGTTGAAGTCCACAAGATATAAAAGAGCCAAGGTTGCCTACCCCTGCTCTAGCCTTAGCTATTTTATAGGCAACTGAAGAATCTCATTAAGTCAGATCAGGAAACTTGGTGAGAAATTAGGAATAAAACGTTGTAATGAAAAAGGAGTTAACGTTTTTAAAAATGTTAAATAACAGAAGGACGTCTCTGCCAATATTTACAATTGAAAGAAAGATTTAAAGCAGACAAAAAGAGTTATGGGTTTGATATTGTGAAAAACGAATCGGAAATCCTACTGTGTGGTAGGATTTATTGCTAAAGTTTTCAAATTGTTATTGAATTTGAATTTGGAGAACGAACATGTAAAGCACTGCATGATTCTGTGGACAAGAAATTTTGGATATAATGTCATGCTTGAACAATGGGGGAATATGTGGACAAAAGGTTTAAAATTTACATTAAATTATAACTTAAAATTTTTTTATAAGATGATGCATCGTTGGTATTTAGCATAAATAAGTTGTCAAGAATGTATAAAGATATTTCAAATGAATGTTGGAAATGTAAAAGTAAAGAAGGGACCTTTTACTGCTTATGGCGAAGTATCCTATTGCAGTAGGATTCATATTTTAACACAGAAGATTCTCAAAGTGAATATAAAGATAAAACCAGAAAACTTTCTTTTGGGTTTAATGGAAAAAGACTTGGGGAAAGTCTTTTCCCTCCCCTATCTTTCCTACTATTTTCTTTTGTATTTTTGTACCTTATTCTAGGTATTAATACATAAATAAACTAACATCTATTCGAGAAATTGGAAATAAAGTGGTGTAAAACGAAAATGGGTTAATCTTTTTAAAAATGTTAAATATCTGCCTTAGGATCTTTAGATGGGATTATGTTTACAAAGTATTATTTTTCAAGTTTATTGAACATCCAGGAGGGTGAATTGTTTTCTTCCTTCCATTCAACAATGTCTAATTCTCAGAGACTGCCTGGACAAGTTCTTGCAGTTTTGCTGGCAAGGTTTTTCAGAAATGGTTTGGTTTGCTATTGCAGTGGCCCCCAACCTTTTGGACCCCAGGGACCAATTCCATGGAGAGAGATTTTTTTGCGGACTAGAGGAGGCATGGTTTTCCATTCTGCCTGCATCCCGTGGATGGGGCTTCACTTATTTGCACAGCTCGGTTTCTGGCATGCTGCGGCCCAGTGCCGGGCCACGGCCTGGGGGTTGGGGACCCTTGCGCTATTGCTTTCTTCCTAGAGCTGAGAGAAAATGCCTTGTACAAGGTCACTTAGTTGGTTTCATGCCCAAGGCAGGACTAGAACTTACGGTCTCCCAGTTTCTACCCTGATGCCTTAACCATTACACCAAACTGCTCAAAGGAGGAGTTTCATGTCCGAGGCAGGACTAGAACTCACGGTCTCCCAATTTCTACCTTGATGCCTTAACCATTACACCAAACTGCTCAAAGGAGGAAGTTTAGTAAGGACTGGTCCAGTGGTTAGAATGCAGTATTGCAGCAAATTCTGCTCACAGTCTGGAGTTCGATCCTGACCGGCTCAAGATTGACTCAGCCTTCCATCCTTCTGAGGTCGGTAAAATGAGGACCCAGATTGTTGGGACAGTATGCAAATAATGGTTCTACATTGTGAACCACCCAGAGATTGCTGTAAAAGCACTGTGGGGCGGTATATAAGCCTAAGTACTATTGCTATTGCTCTCATCAAGCCTTTCAGCAGTGACTGGAATTAAAAGTAATTCTTTTCCCACTATGATTTTTCAGAGTACCTTTTAGCAAGATTTATTAATATCAAAGAGCGGAGGTCACGAATTCTGCCAACTGAACCAATTCATACATTAGTGTGTCTGTTATTTTGTTTCCAACAGCTGTCCTTGGGGTGCCACAGGCAGGGAGCCTCACGATTATTGAGAAGGTTGCTGCTTGCTATTTACACAACAGTCTCTGGGAATCTTTATCGATCTGGAAACCACTTTTTGCACTCACCTTGCTGTGAAGCTCTATAAGAGCCCATTGGCCTCTGCCCCATGAGGCTGTTTCCTTGATTACTCTGGCTCATCATGGCAATGGAAGACTGCCCTTGGTAATGTTGGGTTCCTGGTTGCGCAGAGTTGTAATGTGATGTCGCTGCTTGCTGGTGAATCATGGAAACTGTAACACACAAAAATGCAGGCTGGGTTCCCACGACACGCTTAACTTGGCTGCTTAATTAACTGAATTTGCACAAAGTCCTAAACCACTATCACCATTAATTAAGGCTGCTTGGGTTGACCGAACATGCTACATTCCAGAGAAAGGAACCAATGTTAATATTAACACCTAGATCCCTAATAATAATAATAATAATAATAATAATAATAATAATAATAATAATAATAATAATAATAATAATAATAATAATAATAATAATAAAGTTGGAAGGGACCTTGGAGGTCATTGAGTCCAACCCTCTGCTCAGGCAGGAACCCTACACCATTTCGGACAAATGGCTGTCCAGTCTCTTCTTAAAAACTTCCTGTGTTGGAGCATTCACCACTTCAGGAGGCAGGTTGTTCCACTGGTTAATTGTTTTAACTGTCAGGAAGTTTCTCCTCAGTTCTAGGTTGCTTCTCTCCTTCATTAGTTTCCATCCATTGCTTCTTGTCCTGCCTTCAGGCGCTCTGGAGAATACCTTGACTCCTTCTTCTTTGTGGCAGCCCCTGAGATACTGGAACACTACTATCATGTCCCCCCTTGTCCTTCTCTTTGTTAAACTAGACATACCCAATTCGTTAAACTAGACATACCCAATTACTACGGTTGAGCCAGGTATACTCCTATTCTAGACCTCTGCATTTCCTTTTTCCTGCCTAAGTGCAGGACTTTACTTTTCTCACCACTGCACTTGCATCTCGTTGGGTAGTTTAATTAATTAATTGGTGCAATGAATTGATTGCAATTATTGAAAGCCAAGGTGGGCACTTGGAGACCAAAGGGGCTGTTTTGGCCAAAGTAGGGCAAAAGGGCAAAGATTCAGTCAACTGTACCTGGGTTGGACTGCATGCTGAGATTTGCTCGCGAGACGTAGTTGCCGATTGATCCCTGGCCTTGCAGGGCAACGCTCTGAGACGCAGGCACCGTGTGACTATAACTGGGCCCAGTTCCATGGCTGCTGAGACTCATGCTCAAGGAGGTCGTGGGAAGGGTATTCTGGCCCGACTGCTGCATAGACACATGGTTGGGACCTAGGTAGAAGGCAGGCAGGAAAAAGATGCTCTGGTTTGCAAAACATACCCTTTGATCAATCAGAATGGAGAGAGAGAGAGAGAGAGAGAG